TATACTGACCCAATAGCATATCTTGAAAACTAGAGCCAATCAACAATTTTAAGCATCATTTTCATTCTCAGTGACCCAGAATTAGTAAAGTTTGACTACATTTATTTCAGAAGCATTTTGGCTGTAGAGCAGTGATATCAGGGTTGGAAGGGACCTCAGGAGGTCATCTAGTCCAACCCCCTGCTCAAAGCAGGACCAATCCCCAGACAGATTTGTGCCCCAAATTGCCCTCTTAAGGATTGAACTCAACCCTAGGTTTAGCAGGCCAATGCTCAAACCACTGAGCTATCCCTCCCCCTGAGAAAGTAGTTTTTCACCCCAGATGGGACTTGAACCCACAATCTGTGACTTAGAAAGCCATTGCCTTATCCATTAGGCCACTGGGGTTGAGCTGTTTGATATGCAGGAGGGGCTCAGGGCTGGGGCAGGGGGATGGGGTGCGGGGTGCAGGCTCCAGGAGGCAGTTTGGAGTGTGGGAGGGGGTTCCGAGCTGGGGCAGGGGGTCAGGGCGCAGGAGGGGGTTTGGTTGGCTCTGGTTGGTATGATTCGTGGGGGCTCCGTGAGGCACTGACCTCAGGCGGCCCTGGCATTTTCCAGGGATGGAGGAAGACTGCACGGCTCTTGGGAAGTGGTGGCATGTTCGGCTCCTAGGTGGAGGGGCAGCCACCAGGGCTCCACGCGCTGCCCCTGCCACAGGCGCCACCACGAGCGCCAGCTCCACAGCTCCCATTGGCTGTGGCCACAGCGTTCCTGGCCAATGGGAGATGCGGAGCCCACACTTGGGGAGGCACCTGCGGGCAGAAGCAGCGTGCGGAGCCCCCCTGGCTGCCCCTCCACCTAGGAGCCGGACATATTACCTGATGGAGCTGCCAGGGTCTCTTTTCGACCAGGCGTTCCAGTCAAAAACTGGATGCCTGGCAATCCTAATGTGGCGGTGCAAGGGCAAACTCACTCCACCCAGCCCAAGGAGCTGTGAGACTGAGCATGGAGCAGCCTGTTGCGTGGCTTAAAATAGCTTCTCTTGGAGCAGTTCTAAGGCACTCCAGGCTGCAGCCACCCTCCAGTTGTGTCTGCCTGG